AATGCACGTGAGTGTGTCTGTCTCTGTATTTATATGTGCCTGTTTGTGTTTGCTTATGCACAAAACCTCTTCGCCCAGCAATTTCACTCGAAATGGAAGAGGCCAGATGTAGAGTATATATACCGGTGAGTTTTCTTTACTCGTTAGTTTGAATTTTGTTTTGACGATGTTATCTCGCTCTGATGATGTCCGTCATATGACGCACAAGAGCTTAGCACGTTTTCACCGGAATCGAAGGAGATTGCCTCAGAAACAGCGTCAGCATGAATTTTCCAGTAAAGCCAATCGACAGCTGGTCAAGAGGAATCCGCCGTCTTCGGTCTCTTCACCCAAAACTTCTACTCGAAATGAAAATATGCCCAAAAATTACTGATGAGACTCGGGATAGACCAAAATTGTATCCCACTTTGAATGAATACAGCTTGTGGTACATTTCTATTTTATGTGACCTCGGATGAATACAGCTTACCTTGAAGGGTGAAAGAAAGCAAATGCTATCATTGTGCAAAAGTCCCACTATTAGGCTTTAAATGACCCTGAGCGACATAGAACAAATAAGTATTAAATTAAGAATAAATGAAATTCACGATAGCAACTCTTATCTGGCAAAGCTTATACTCATTCACTGATTAGCAGAATGACAGGGGATTATTTCAATTAGTTCACGGCCTTCGCAATGGATCCTGTCGTATCAGGCCGTCCACTTGCCGACCGATTGAAGAAATGATAGTATTTTTAAAGAAAAGTGTGTAAAATTCGAAAACCGCACTCATGCACAATCAGCAAATAACCTTCCAATCAGTCCGGCCAACAAAGCGCATCAGCTCCCGGAGCCAACTTCTCTCGCGGTAGGCCAGTAGAAAGGAGGGCACTTGAAGATCGGCCGATGGCCCCCGAACGAGCAGGTCCAATTCAATCTGTCGCTCAGCCTCTTGGCCGAGCAATTCGGTGACAAAAACAGTGCCCTCTCGTTGAAGCCTGCAGAAGGACGGAATCGACGGCCCTCCGTCATTCAACAGCCCGGAAACCGGTTCAACGCTTGGCGTCGAAGCTGCTGTCACCATGGGCGATGGCGACCCTTCGACGCCGACCTCATTGACCTCGGATTTGGCTGTGTTTGCGCTTGCACTAGTTTTCTCCCCCACCTCCAGCAGGCTGGGCTGCTGGACCATTCGATGGAACAGCTTCAGCCGCTGCTTCTTCTGCGGACGCGGAGACCGACGGCCTTTTGCGACCTCAGCATCGCGTCCATGCGAGGCGACCGTATCCACTTGCCTGGCCTGCTGATACTCAACCCGAAATGGAGTTGAAGCCTCGACAAATTTAACCGATAAATGATGTCCTCCTGCCATCTTCTTGACTTGCTTCCTCTTCTCCTCCCCTGCCTCATCCCCAGCCTCATCCGCAGCCTCCTTTTCGCCCTCCTCCACGTCATTCTCGTCATCCGCCCACGAAGTGATATGACCCCAAAATGTGCAGATATCGCTGAACTCCTCCTCGTTTTGCTCGTCTTCTTTTTCACTCTGCTTCACGTTGCTCAACTCTGTTGTTCCCACCAACTGGCCGGTTGTCAGGCTGTCACTGCCCCATGGATACACTGCCTCCGGAGGGTCGGCTTCTCGAGCGGCCTTCGGATGTTTTCGCCAGGCCTGTTCCATCGAACGAAAGAGGTGGCCGACAATGGCCGAATTGGGCAACCAACCAAGGAGGCCGGGAGCTGAGGCCTGTAGCGCTGCGCGAATAAAAAAGCCGGTTCTGTTAACGCTGGACAACATGGATACATTGTCCTCTTCCACTTTCCCGTCTCCACATGCTCGCTCCTCCACGCCAGGGTCGTCCTGGTCCGACCCGTCAGGCTGTCCAAAGGTCTCTTCTTCTCGTCCGGCCTGCAAGACACGCTGAAGGGTCTTTGGAATCACCGGAGGCCCTCGCACTCCCTTAAACACGGCCTGGACGCCCTCGTTCAGACGGGATGGCAAAATTTGCGACTTTGCTGCCGAGTCACCTTTTGTGGACCGTTTACTCCTTTTTGCTCGAAGAGAACGATGACGCTCTCGAGTCATGGCTTTTGCAGACCGTTCGGCCTGTAGGATCTCTTGAAGGTCCCGCTGAGCTTGTTCGATGTGCACTAAACTCAATGCAGCCAGATGAGACTTGGGCAGCAGACTTGGCAGTCGAATGGAGCGCATCTCATTAAGCTCAGAGCATTTTTGCTTCTTCTTTTTACAGATCATCAAGGCCAGATTAGGATCCGTTGAAATGGCTCTTGTGGAGTCGGCTTCATTCGGAGGCTTTAAACTACCCATCTTTTTCATTTCACCGCTTTTCACATCCTGACCGGCATGAGGCGAGCTCTGCTGTTGCCGATTCTCTTCCTTGGTTTTGTCGAGTTGCCTATGCGCTATGCATTCTGCCAGACATGTAGGCAGTCCGGAGCCCAGTAGGATACGTTCCAGATGGGCAGCAAAGGCCTTGCTTTTAGTTCTCTGCTTGGAGTCCGTCTTATCTTCCCCAAGACAGCTCAGCAACCGGCTTGTACTTTTCTCGAGGTCTGAAAGTTTCTGTCTGTTAAGCCCTAGTTGAGCCAGTCGTGAAATCGAGCCGATGGCTTCTTCCTCTTGTCCGTTGGGCCCGAAAGCCTTTAAGCGCCTTGCCTCCGAGCCTGTTGTGAATGTCTGTGTCGGTAGGAAGGGCAGATGGATCGGAGTATTTCTGTTGTTGCGTCTAGGACGATCGTAAACCAGAAATTTATCCACCTGTGAAGAGAAAATGAAAACAGCAAGAGAATAGCTTTGGAAGAAATTAATGGCCTGATGCAAGGCAAGAATAGGATTGACAAGACAAAAAGATAGAGTTTGAGCTTCTGACTAGAAGGCTTTTCTGCAAAAAGAGATTGATATGAAACGAATACTGTCCCTGCGACGGGGCAGTAGAGGGTCACGACAAAATGCTTCCAAAGAGATGGGCTTCGAAACAATCAGTAGGTCTTAGAAAAGTAGATAAGACAGAGTAGGCCAATTAAGTTAATATAGCAACATACAGCCCAATTTTCGACGGTCAAATTAGTAATAGACACCAACAGACAGTTGAATTACAATCAGCTTTACCTACCAAAGGGCTTTCTTGTTTGGGCTAAAGAGCAGCTTTGATGTTGCTTGAGCCTCATCAGCTTCCACAATGGATTTCGAAACTGAGTCTGATATAAATATGTGGCTTTCTCGACAAGCCAGCTATATATATACTCTACTAAACTGTCAGAAGATCTTGAAAAATAATCTTAACTGGCATTAGGTGATAGAAGTCATGACAACTAAGTCACCCACAACAAAATACCATTGGATTTCATCGAGCACTAAACTTTACATTTAGACCAAATCCAACAAGTTCCACAGGGAAATTAAAACCAAAGTATTTAGGAAAAGGCTCGCTTTCTAGTAGGTCACAGGGTAGTTGGGGGACGAAATAAGTCGGACCTCCACCATTTTACATTTTTTATGGGACTGATTTCGATAAGGTAAACAAATTTTTAATACTAAACTATACACTATTAAATATGAAGACCAAGATTGTGTAGCCTTTTGTTCGGTTTCAATCTCCTTTAACTGTACCTATTCCTGCGTCTTTTGCAAAATTATCCATGATGATTTCCCACAACGAAATGTTGACTTGGTATATTCCCAAACGTTTCGCCGGCATCGTCAGTGAGAGTTGCCACCGTCTTCAGAGTTACAACTTATCAAAGTGACAAGTAATAAAAGTGATAAGTTGTAACTTTGTGCTAAGTGTGCTGCCTCTCACTGGGGATGGCGACTAGGATGCAGGCGAAATGTCTTGGAATGTACCAAGTCAACGGTCCTTTGCTGGAAATCATCGTGAATACTTTTGAAGAGGTCGCAGAAATATGTACTTTCCACAAGATTATCCCTGTCGCTCCGACCAAGTTGAGAAAGCAAGGTTAAGCCAACACTAGACACTGTTAGTTGTAAAAGCCAAAATTATGTTCGAAATTTTCGCTTTATCTCTTGGTAAGAATGCTAGTCGTCTTTGGTGATAAAAAGCCACATTACTATGGGCACCACTTACTCTGTCTTCTAATATCCTCAGATCGAACATCAAATACGAGTTTGCTTTATCAAAACAGTCTTATTAGTAATTTGAAATAAGAGACATAGTTTGTCTTAAAATTACCATGACTATCATTCTGAGGCCTTCTGCTCATTATAATGTGGTAGATTCACCTATTAGAGTTTATTTCTTTAGAGAAACCTTATTTACAGCCGTACTCATAATATTTCAAACTACGCTGTAGATATGAAGAATTACTGGGTTTCGGTGAATCTCCTGTGATAACGTTGTTGTCGAGGCTTTCATTTCGTATGAAAGTGCATGAAGAAGAAATTCGTACGTTGATCTCACCAGAAAACGGTGGTTCATTCCCGTTGTACTGCAGCCGCTTAGCTGTAATACGACGTTCAAGTAAACATAGTCGGCGTTACATCCTTTCATCCCAACAATCTCATACTAATGTTTCAAATCGTGTTTACTTTGTCTCCCAAATTAATTTAGAATATATTAGTCTATTTTAAAACCGTATTTATAAAAATCGAATTTTTAAGAATCGTTGACTACTTTTATTCATTATTTATCTATTTATTTTTGATTAGTACATCAGAGGCTCTACCTCTAGGAGATTCTGCTCTTCAGGATTTAGGCACTTTTAGCGTGGCAGCGAGGTTGACGTTAGTTAAAAATA